TTCGAAGAATAATATCAATATTACACAATTAATCTAACAACTGTGAACAGTAATGAGATAATGTGTATAGAACCCAGACCTCTGCCCAAAATATGGTAGAGTATCAAGGAAGTGCATTGCAGAGTATTTTCTTGCTTTTGGTTTTTGGTTTTGTATTTTCTTTTGTAAGACAAGGTTTCACTCTGCCTTCCAGGCTGGAGTGCAGTGGCAGATCATGTCCTGCCTCAACCTCCTGAGCACAAGTGATCCTCCCAATTCGGCCTCCTGAGTAGCTGGGACTATAGGTATGCACCACCATGCCCGGCTAATTTTTTTTTTTTCTTTTTTAGTAGAGACAAGGTCTTGCTATGTTGTCCAGGATGGTGTCAAATTTCAGAACTCAAGCAGTCCTCCCACCTCTATCTCTCAAAGTGCTGGGATTACAGACATGAGCCACCACTCCTTGCTTCCAGACTATTTAAACGACTAATTCCTGACACTACCTGAGGGATACTAGACAGTAGACACATCTTTAATGTACCAAACAGGTGACTGTAGGGTTGAGAGACAGATTAGAATTCAATTTTTTATGACCAAAAAAGACTGAAATGAGGCACAAGCTTAGGTCTTTTCAACTGTGGGGACCGGGTTGAAAGTGTGCAGTTCAAGGCCCTGTAGTTGGTATTTAACTGTTCCCAGGTGGAAGTCTCTTCAAAGAACTACTGGTGCAAACTACCTGGGGATAAATATTTCCTCCAGAAAGGGGAAAAGTGGAAGCTCCCCTAGAAAAAGGACAAGGCAAGTCGTTGTCTACTTTCCCTGAAGTTATCAAAAAAGATGAGACCTGTGTTTACCTTCAAGATTAGGGAAGTCTTGAGAAGTTTGAGCTGTGCCTTTGGAAGCCAACATACTTTTCTCCTTTATTGACCAAGTTCAGCTCTCCTGAATACTTCCAAGGTCTACTGCATCAAGAGTGAGACTTCAAGGCCCTAGAAGCTGGGATCTCAGATATAGGGAAAAGAGATTTCCTATTCACTCACTGTTAACATGTGGCTGAAAACTTTTGATCTAGTCATCTACAAAGCACGAGTTGTGGGTCAGAAATTGTTTTTCACATCTTTTTATTTCCTTTGACAGCAGAATAAAACCTAGGAATTGATGACTTAAGTGAATGCAAGGTACTTTGGTGTGGACAGGAGCATTTTGCACCAGGTAGGGAGACAGCTATGAAGGAAAGCATTTATTCTATGTATGTATGTATGTATATATGTATCTATCTATCTATCTATCTAACTAGTCTATTTTTCTATCCACTTATTTATACATATAAACAAAAAGTATAGAGTGTAGTATAATATGTAAGTGGTCAGGGCTATGTGTTTATGGATTGTTTGAAATGAAACTAAAGTGGGATTATAATTCTGCTGTCCCCACAACCCTGTGGTCCCTACACTACCCTGCAAGATTCATTTAACTGCTTAGCTTAATTGTGAGGCCATTATGGGGGATAGTACCCTGTCCTCTCTGTCTTTCAACATCCCCATAATAACTAGGGAATAACTTTGTAAAATGGCAGAATAGGGTCATGTTTAGTTGGGTGATATATAAAATTGGACAAGCCACAGTTTGAGTTTACCCTTTTGAATAAATATATGACAAAAGGAAATTTAATTATTTTTAAGAGTCTGGAGGTATCCAGCATGAAATTTGGATAATGCTTGCCTTCTAGTGCTGAAATTAGAACTTAATAATATAATACATCAATGAACTTATTACAGTTCTTAGCACAAAGTAAGAACCCTTTCAATGTGTGTGTGTGTGTGTGTGTGTATATATATATATGTATATATGATACTGATGTGAAATTTAAGTGCACTAGCTCACTTAATCCTTATTAGTAACTGTGAAGTAGGCATTTGAATTTTCCAAGTGAGTTAAGTGTAGCTTATCATACATAAGGAAATATCCACAGATTACATACCTAGTGTATAACTGAGAAATAATTTTATTTATATTATAAAACGTTCTAACAATACAGATGCATATAAACTAAAATCTGAAAGGGCTTATGCAATCCTACCTTCTCAATCTCACTTCTCTACTTTGAGAAAACCAGCCTTAGCTGTCTGCTATGCATCCTTTCAAAACATATTTCTGAGAGATGAGAGAGAGAAATAGGGATGGTGGAAGGAAAGAAGAAAGAGTAAGAGAGAGAGAAGGAGGTGTGGGGAAAGAATTAAATTATTCTTTTCTCTGTCTCTTGAAAGAGCCCTTTTCATTACATTGAATCGAAGGTAATGTTGCCATTTCTGGACTCTTGGAATAAGGAAAGACTGATACATTAAATCATTTTGAAAGTCTACGGCATTTTTAAAATGCAAGGTGATATCTTACTAACTAGCCTTTGCTTTATTAGAAACAGGGGAGTGAGTAGGGGAAACAGGAGAAACTGGGAAGAGCATCCACATGTCCTGTCCCTATAAGGTGGAGGCACCCACCTTCAATCAAAAGGGCTCCTTAACACTTACTTTCCTTGCTTGTAGCTCCACTGTCCTGGACCATTAGCTCCACAGGTATCTTCTTCCCTCTAGTGGTCATAACAGCAGCTTCGGCTACTCTGAAGAGTCCTGCCAGATATATGTCAGGGAATGTAATCCACTAATAAAAATAAAAAGAACATTTTAACTGTAGTATTGGTTTTTTTTTTTTTTATTGTGACTACCAATAAAGCTCTCGCTCTTTCATCAGTGATTACTCAGGTTGTTCTGTGACCAACACACTGGGAAAACTCAGAGAAGGCATCCATGTGCTTACTGGCCTAAACTGAAATGGCCACAGCAGAGTGAACCAGAAGGTTTACAGATATCTTCCGCAAAGAGTAAAAGGATTGAAGACTTCTCCAGATCAATGCATAGGAAATAACCATGGGTCTTATATATCCCATATTATGATGAGCAACATTACGATAAGACCATATCAATTTTTAGTCCAGACACAAGCACAGACTACATGAAGCGTGTCCAGGTGGAGGCAGGAAAAATGAGAGAAATGATAGGAGCAAGAAAAGAGGAGGCATTTGATCAAGAAAAGTAGAAAAAGGAAATAATTCTGTATCTAATACAGATGAGGCATTTAATGAGTTTTGGTGAATAGGTAAATACCAAATTTTTCCTTAAACATTTATCAGATATTCACTATGACACATACTTATTGAAAATCAAGTAAATAGAGATTTTCAAACACATTGTAAAGAAACATATACTTACAAATTCAAAGTATTTGGCACCGCAGGCACATAAAACCCTAAGAGTATACAGCACACTTTTATACACCCATTATTCATAAACATAGACGATGGATGCAGAAAGAAGTTAAATGTGTATTTTACATATAATTTCATGAACATAGCCGTACCAACCCCCTTCCCCTTTCTGTTAGAGTTTCCTGCCTTCATGCGTCCCTTGATCTGATACCTTGAGTTAGCCCCACACCCAAATCTTCAGCAGAAATATAAAGTCCCATTTAACGTGTGATAGATGAACTAAATATTCTATCTCAGTATTCATTTAACAGCATAGGAAGGAGAAAAAACCCTCTGCCTCACTTACACCACAGATTCTGTTTCTGTGGCTAAATTAGCTTAGGTAATACATTGTGTAGCCAGTTAGAATGGCGGTCATTAAAAAGTCAGGAAACAACAGATGCTGGAGAGGATGAGGAAAAATAGGAATTATTTTACACTGTTGGTGGGAGTGTAAATTAGTTCAACCATTATGGAAGACAGTGTGATGATTCCTCAAGGATCTAGAAATAGAAATTCCATTTGACCCAGCAATCCCATTACTGGTTATATATCCAAAGGATTATAAATCATTCTACCATAAAGACACATGCACTTGTATGTTTATTGCGTCACTGCTCACAATAGCAAAGACTTGGAACCAACTCAAATGCCCATCAATGATAGAGTGGATAAAGAAAATGTGGCACATATACACTATGGAATAGTATGCAGTCACAAAAAGATGAGCTCATGTCCTTTGAAGGGACATGGATGAAGCTGGAAACCATCATTCTCAGCAAATTAACACAAAAACAGAAAACCAAATACCTCATGTTCTCACTCATAAGTGGGAGTTGGTCAATGAGAACACGTGGACACAGGGAGGGAAACATCACACACCAGGCCTGTAGTAGGGTGAGGGTCAAGGGGAGGGATAGCATTAGGAGAAACACCTACTGTAGATAATGGGTTGATGGATGCAGCAATCCACCACGGCATATACCTATGTAACAAACATGCACATTCTGCACATGTGCCCTAGAACTTAAAGTAAAATAAAAAATAAAAATAAAATACACTTTAAAAAGTAAAAAAAAGTAAATAAATTGAATATACGAAAATGAAAATATCAGGTTTAATTTCATATTCCAGACATATTAAAATGTTTTTATCCAGCATTTAGAGAACACAGGATAAAAGGAAACAAATCAACTCATGAAATAGACAAATAGCACATCATGATTTCAGACAGATTCTACTGCAGAGATTTTAAATGACACTGTATCATTTGGAATGAAACCTCTAATCTCACGACCCTCAATCCACTTACTGTTATGTATTTTTATACAGCCAAAACTGGATCTTTTCTTTCCAGAGTCAATAATATTCCACTTTCCTAGTATCTCTCAATTAATAGATGTTAGTTAGATAGATAGATAGATAGAAAGACGATAGATGTCTGTCTCTATACAGCTTTATGTCTACATGTGAATGTATTTATAACTGTCTGCATATTAAAATATCAATTAGAAAAAAATAAAAAATAAAAAATAAAATAAAATATCAATTAGATGAATACATTTATTGCATTATTGTTCAATGTAGCTTTTCACTTTACATAATAATTAAAACCTATCTTAACACTGATACAAGAGATATTAGGTATAAATCTGAGGCCCTCTTCAATTATAAAAAAGGCCCAGAAATCATGAAATTGACAAAATTCTGGAAGGAAGCGTCAAGCCCTTCTGTGTCCAGAAAACAGACAAATAATGCTTCCTTGAATCCACTCGGTCTTGATGCTGCAAATAACGGGGTTCATGAAGGGAGGGAAGAGAAAGTGGACATAGCTCACGGTTATGTGGGCCACATGTGGTACATGTTTTCCAAACCTGTGAATGAGTGTCAGGCTGATTACAATGATGTAAAATACCAGGACACAGCTAATATGAGAGACACAAGTGCTGAGCTTTAGTTTGTTCCCCTCTGGAAGCAATGCCTATAACTGTTTTAAGGATTAGAACATAGGAAAAGAAAATGATCAGAGCATCTAGAAAGAATGTCAAAGCAACCAGAATAACTGGGTATAAGCGATTAAATGTAATATCAGCACAGGCGAGTTTCATGACATCTTGGTGGAGACAAAATGTGTGCAAGAGAACACAGGAATGACAATATGGGTAGGAGTAGAGAGAAAGAATTAGGGGCACAATGGCCACAAAGCCTCTCATCACAATCCCTAGTCCTACGTTCATCACTTGTGAATTGGTAAGAGTAGAGCTGTACCTCAGTGGTGTGCAGATGGCAATGAAACGGTCATAGGCCATGGCAAACAAAACACCCGATTCTACAATTGCCAGTGAATGAATGAAGAAGGACTGAATGAAACAGGCAGCCTGTGCAATCTCCCTCTGGTCTAGCACCAGGACACCCAGGACTGTGGGCATTGTAGTGAGTGTCATCCCAAGGTCCGTGCCTGCCAGCATAGCCAGGAAGTAGTACATTGGCTCATGAAGGCTGTGGTCATTCCAAATGAAGACAAGGAGTGTGCCATTCCCAAAAAGGATGGAGAAGTAGATGACAAAGAAGGGAATAGAGATCCAATGCTGAATTGTCTCTAAGCCCAGGAAGCCAGCCAGCAAGAAGGAGGCGGCACTGTTGTTAGACAACATGGTAGGTTTTGCAGATGGAGAAGGTCTACTTTAGGGGTGATGACCTCAAAATATGCAGTATTCTTTCTTTCTCTCACAGTCTTCTTTTAACACATCATCAGGTCATTTTTCACATCAAAACTTAAATACTTTGTGAACTGTCTCATAATTGTTAGCCTGTAATAATTAATTGTAAGCCTGTCTCATAATTAATTGTAAACCACTGAGGAAAATGCTTATTCAATAGAAATGAGCCCATCACCATGAAATTACTGAGAAATATTGTAATCAATATTGCTATCTCAAGTGGACTGTGAATAAGAAGAGAACTCAGCCTGGGCAACATAGCAAGATCCTGCCTCAAAAAAAAAAAAAAAAAAAAAAAGAAGGAAGGAAGGAAGGAATGAATTAGGTTGGCATGGTGACACACACTTGTAACCTAAGCCACTAAAGAGACTGAGGCAGAAGGATCACCTGAGCCCAGGACTGTGAGGCTGCAGAGAGCTATGATTGCAGCACTGCTCTTCAACTTGGGTGACAGGGTCAGACTCTGCCTCTTTAAAAAAATAAAATAAAATAAATTGGAAGAAAATAATTCATCTCATGTGAGTTTCCACAGAAATCTGAAAACCTGAACAAGTGGGTAAAGTTAGCAAACTCATTTTAGAAAGTCCTCAGTGGACTTGGGACTCACCAAGTTCTCTGTGCTGCAAACAGTCAAAAAGTCTGAGTTTTGACACAGTAGAGACAAACATGAAAATAGGAGGAGACTCACATTGGAAGCTCATAACAGAAATATTTTAAGTGCAGACCTCTATAATGAGGGCATCCACAAAATGTTAATACTTAGAGTCATAAATTTGTAAATACGTTGGTCTGAAGGGCAATAACAACATCAGAAGTTGGTAATTTAGTTAATAAACTTCACACAACCGGATTTAGGGAAAAGATAAGCACTCTCAGAGAGAAAATATGGCACTACATTGCTGATGGAGACAATCTTACAGACTCTCTAATCATTATGAATCTATAAGGCTCCTACTGAGAAAAACTCGTAAGGACCTTCATAGGGAACTTTGAAATACAGCCTATTTATAACTACACTTTTACAAAATCAAGATTTTCGTTGTCATGTTACCAAGAAATTTTGTCGCCGGTTTATTACAAAACAAAGAAAACTACAAGGGAAACATCAGTTTCTCCCAAATTCAATTGATTCTATATGTGCCCAGAATCTTTTAGAATATCATTTTATATTATCAATATTACTACTGACACCTTTCAATGGTTGTTCAGTAGAAATGAAGTGATAACAATCTTTGCACCTTTTTTGTCTTATAAAAACCTATAGAAACAATAATAATTATGTTTCAGAATTTTGGCACATACTAACATCTCTAATATAAGCAATTATTTGTGGAGAGGAATGGATAGAGGAAAAGTGAAAGGACTTTGGAAATGACTGCTACCTCATGGGGCACTGTTATAACAAAAATGTCAGTCTAGGCATTAAAGTAGCAGGTACTATATTCATATGGATACTAAAAACACTGCTAACTTGAGCCATAAATTATGACCTGTGTGGTGCTCAACTTGGCAAAACTTATCTACTCCACAGGAGTGATGTGTATATCATTATAAGTCCCCTTAACTTTCCAACATTGCCTTACAAGAGAATGGATAAATGCCAAAACTCGTTGTATAGGATAAAAGCTAACCAATTATTTGGATCTATGGTCGCCCAGAAAGTAGCCCAGATTGAGCAAGCAGGAGAAGGCCTGATTATTCTTAAACTATAGTCGTGTTTTCAAAACCTTAGCTAAGTTTTGGACATTCGGATGCACCGGGTTATACTAAAACTGTGTGGTAATTACTTGGGAAATAGTTAATACAATTTACAAGTATATTTTTATTGACCTAAAGATAGCCCGCTATTTAATATCTGCAGGCTCCAGCAGCAGCTACGCTGGCATTTAATTGTGGCAAGTTTGGTGGTACCAGAAACTGTTCACATATCCAAATATTCCAGGGATAATAGTTTCCCTAATAGTTTAGGGAGTCTCCTAGAATGTAATGCATGACAATAGTGACAGTCATAACTTTGGTGGAATTTATCACTCTCAGGCAAGCACGGAGGCCCCATGAGGGATGCAAACATGACTGGAGCTCACTACTCTCTTGCCCCTTTCTGAATGCCTTTGCACTGATTCTTTGAAAACAACTATCCCAGGGTCCTGAAGAGTTTCTGAGATTAATATAGATCAATCATCCAGAGCTTCTTCAGCTTGCCATGCTGACAAGAGGATTAGTAACTGCTCAGGAAACCATTTAAAAAGACATAAACTAAAATGAGAAGGAGAAAAGAGAATATTAAGATCATATTAAAAAAAAAAAAAGAAAGAAAAAGCCTTCCGTTTAGCTCCAGATGATCTTCAAGCACCCTGTACAATCAGTGTCCCCTGAATCCACCTTTTTATCTCCACACATTGCCCCCAAATTGTATTCCTATAGAAGGAAGTAATAAAGATATTGAAATAAACATTTAAAGCTAACTGACGAAGGGAAGTCATAGGATAAAGACAAACTATCTGAAAAATCTCAAATTTTAAGTGAGGTTTTTATATCTTAGCTTAAGTATAAATTAAAATGGAAAAGGTGGCTGGGTGCAGTGGTTCCCACCTGTAATCTCAGCATTTTGGGAGGCCAAGGCAGGCAGATCATGAGGTCAGCATTTCAAGACCAGCCTAGCCAACATGGTGAAACCCTGTCTCTACTAAAAATACAAAAGTTAGCCAAGTGTGGTGGCAAGTGCCTGTTTTTCCAGCTACTTCAAAGGCGGAGGCAGGAGAATTGGTTTAAAAAACCCAGCAGGAGAAGGTTGCTGTGAACCGAGATTGAATCACTGCACTTCAGCCTGAGCAACAGAGCAAGACTCTGACTCAGGGGGAAAAAAAAATGGAAGAGGTTTGGAGAGAAACACTGGGAACCTGGGAAAAACTTTACTCTCAGTAAAAAGAAAGAAGATCTCGGGCCGGGCGCGGTGGCTCAAACCTGTAATCCCAGCACTTTGGGAGGCCGAGGCGGGTGGATCACGAGGTCAGGAGATCGAGACCATCCTGGTCAACACGGTGAAACCCCGTCTCTACTAAAACTACAAAAAATTAGCTGGGCATGGTGGCGCATGCCTGTAATCCCAGCTATTCAGGAGGCTGAGGCAGGAGAATTGCCTGAACCCAGGAGGCCGAGGTTGCGGTGAGCCAAGATCTCGCCATTGCACTCCAGCCTGGGTAACAAGAGCGAAACTCCGTCTCAA